AACAAGATGAAGAAAACTTGATTTTCACTGGAGCTGGTCTTGAGCAACAGCTTTCGAGTGGTTCCTCTTTTTAACTTTGATCTGATCCGTTTTAATCACGTATTCCTCGACATATAGATGATGTCATACATCACCTGAACAACAGCAGTAATAGAAACAGCACGACAGACACAATTCAAGCACCTGCTGATGACAGTGAACAACAGGCCTCCAGTGAACCAAACTTGTGTGGAAATTAAACCGTTCAGCATCACAAAGTTTCAGCAGAAGCTCAACATTACAGCCTTCATGAATATTATTTATTGCAGGATTATTCAGTTAGAGCGTGTTAGTTTTTGCGATCGGGCTGCTGAGTTTTATCCTCTACAACACCGGGCTGTATTTTATTGTTGTTCTCTCTGGCAAATATTTACACCACATGAAGAGTAGGAAGCCGTCCCACAGGCTGTTTGTGAATGAGTAAGGAAGATGAGAGTGAGTGGGGTGTTGCAGGCGACGCTCGGTGTGAGATAGCACTTGTTCCACTCAGTCGGGGCCACTTCTGAAGCCAAAGGAAGTCCGGCCTCCAGAGCATCTTAAAGTATAGCCTTACTTTCTATGTGTACAGGAGATCTGCCTCTTTAGCGGATCGGTTCAGGTCAGAGTGAGACGCTGCCACTTCCCTCACAGCCTGATGTGTCCACGCTGCACTAATTAGAGATGATTAGCAGCTCAGGCTAACAAGGTGAACAGCAACCTGGCTTCACTTAAGAGTGCTTTTTTTTTTGTTTCAGTTACAGCTTCCTTACATCATTCAGCGACTCTGACACGACGAGCGAGATGCTGCTCGGAGTGAAAGGAGGGCAGAGGCAGAGCACAGGTTGCCTAGCAACTGAATCAAAGGGTTTGCTTGGGGAGGGACACGCGACGGAGGGAGGACGAGGCAGACGGACCGGTCTAAACAGCCGAATTATAATTAAGTGAGAGCCATGCACTGTATGTAAAGAGACTGACAAGTGTGCTGCATGGCTATGAGCACAGAGGGAAGGGTTCTGTTCATCTCCGGTGCTGTTTGATGATCAGCTGCTTGACTGACTGCACACTTGAACTGATGACACAGACAGTAAAATAACACATGCGGCTCCATCAGAAGGCATCACGCTGTTGGTGGAGCTCACGCTGATGGATGGGTGTATCCCTAATGTGTGCTTCCTAAATGACTGCTTCTACTAATCACATCTTTTCTCATTGCAGGTTTTCTCTTTCTAACGTGAGCCCATGTTTTCAGCGGCTATCATTCTGGCAGCGGGCTCGTTTTGTTTGACTCACTTTGTTTGTGCAAACTCTGCTTTCAGTCCCAGGTCTGATTACAGCAACAAAGCTGGATGATTATTAACATTATCTGCAGGTTGCTTCATATTGCACAACATGTGTAATCACTTTCTTTGAGGCGGCAGTGAGATGAAAGACTCTATAGAGCAGGATGTCAAAGTCAAATACACAGAGGGCCAAAAAACCACATTTGCTACAAGCCGAGGGCCGGACTGGTTCAATGTTTATTAAAACACATTGAAATGATTGCACATAGCCTATTGAACCAAGACCTAACACAGTGTATGTTATTGAATGAATAAATGGAAAACATTTTCAACAGGCAAACAGCAAAAAAGTAAATGTCCTTTTAAAACAAAATGTGTTTCTTCATATCAATATAAATGCATAGATGAAATTGCATGCATTATAAACTGAAAATGCATTATTGTGCTGCTCTATGATCCGACCAATCACTGCTTTCAAATAGTAAAATGAGGAAATAAAAAAAAAATCAATCAGATCAGTTGTATTCTTTCTCATGGCTCTTTTCTGCAATTTTCCCTGAGTCCATTCAACTGAAAAATAAATATAAATAAATAAAATAAAATGAAATAAAATGACATTAAATACAAAAATACATGGCACACAGACAAAACAATAGTTCCCTCAAAGAAAAATCACGTCTTGTTGAAACAAATGTAAAAATTGAACTGAATTAAAAACTGAAAATACGTTACTGCTCCACACAGAAGACACACAGGTTTGTCTTTTACCTCCATGAACATGAACTCTGCCTCCACCTGGATTGAAACCCCCTGTTCTCAGCATCCACCTTCCGTTTAGCCATTTTTGAGGAGGGGGGGAAGCTGAAAGTTGACCTCTGCTCTGACTGCTGATGAATAATGAAGCTGCTTGCTTCCTGTTGCGTGACTTCGCGGGCTACCGTTGCATTGTGGGGAATGTAGTGTTGGTGCGTGCAAAACATCAGTGGGCGGCTGTGGCCTGCGGGCCGGTTCTAGTAGTAATTCATTATCATCCAGGGGGCCATAGATAATTCATTCGCGGGCCGGATCTGGCCCGCGGGCCTTGACTTTGACATATGTGTACTATAGCATGTCGTTTTTCGCAAAAAAGGTCACGTCTCAAAATGTAGTATATAGTGCAAAGCATATGGTAGAAAACACTATTTGGACCTTGAGGGAGGAAGCTGGAGAGAACATGCAAACTCCACGCACCGAGATTCCAGTGCCCCCACCGGGACTCGAACCAGCAACCTTCTTGGTGCGAGGCAACAGTGCTACCAACTGCGCCACCCTGAAGCCCTCAGGATGTAGTGTGTAGTGCAAATAGTGTAATGCATGTGGTAGAAAACAGCTTTNTACTATAGCATGTCGTTTTTCGCAAAAAAGGTC